AAAATTTTACAAATTTCAATTTCAAAACTCCAATTTCATGCAACCCAACACACACCTGATATTATCGGACCAAAGTCTAAAATAGTAAAACATTACCCACACACACACACACACAAAACCCTGATTATAAATAACGCTCTCGTGCGGATCTCCTAAAGCATAATTAATTTTGCGTAATAATAGCCTAAACAGGGCATAGTTTGGCTTGATTTAGGAAAATGTTACTACTGATTCCACTGTATCACACTGGATCTGGGTCACTATTTTTGTGGGACTTCATGTAATGAGTGTTAGATTAGGGGAATATAAGTAACTTAAACATATTTTATCATTTTAAATGGCAACTTTTCTTTGGACCTTGGCCTCTAATTAATCCACTTGAATTGAAAATATTTAATCTCAGTTCTCTCAATTTATATATCTCTTATGTCAATATAATGACCCTACAACTGAAAAATCAACCAAGTTAGGGGGGACCTAATTGGAGCTAATAAATGATTGGAGACAGCAACAAAATCAAACCCCAATTCATTTTGGTTTAGGGTATGATTAAGATTACAAGACGTAGGACCTACCCTAAAGTGACTGATTATGCCATAAAAGTCATGCCCATTATTACCATGTTCGCCATTACAAGTTACCATGTGCCACTTTTCTATGAATGTGATTATTGGAGATATAATAAGGTTTGACATTGTCACATAAAGCCAGAAACATGTTATTTTGTGATTAAGTCAGCTCATTATTCTCTAGGATGCTCACCAAAAAAAAAAAAAATCTAGTCTCTTGGATTTACTTTATTTTGCTTTAGAGAATGTATTCGCAAAGGAGGAGAAAATTGTAATTCATGAATACAAATTAATGTATTGTATGTAGAATTAGGATATAGGTTTTGTATTCTTTCTAGGAGGATCTATCTAAACTCTAAAGCCCTTGACTTGCTAAGCTTGTGCTGATGCATCAAATTCTATTTTCTTTTAAATAATGATGGAGAGCCTGAATTCAAATTTTTCGACACTCATAAGTCTCTTGTGGATCTACCAAAACTAGTGAGGACGTAAAGAATTTGTGAGGTTCAAAACTCGAACTTTCTCTCGTTATTTTGTTTTTTTTAGTAGGGGAGGGGTTTTGACAAATGACTTGCCCTCATTTTATCTCACATGGATTAAAACTCTTAACGTTTCAATTTGAAATGAATGGGACAAACTCGATTTATATATTTTTTTTTAAGTTCAAAGTATAATATTCAAATCGGTTAAACCTTGAAATAACACAATTAGATTGAAAAGTTGTTCAACATTGACATGAATTAAGTAGTCATTGCAGTTCAACAAACTGAGGAAGAAAATATGTCTTGGTTCTAGAAGTTGTAGTCTCGCATTGAACATTTGAACCTCATAGGAAAAATTCAATGAATCTGAGCAACTTTTTTTTTTTTTTCACCTTTATTTAATTTTTATCTTTTTTGTATATAATTTGGGACTTATTGGCACAAACAAATGATTGGATGCAGCAACAAAATCAAACCTCTTTTTATCTTAGTTTTGGACAAATAATTAGGGTATGAGAGGAGGAGCCTTTGTGTGTCCCAAATAGACTAATTATGCCATAAAAGTCATGGGTATTATTACCTTGTATGTCATGACAAAGTTACTATGTATTACTTTTTCTAGCATGGTTATTATTGTTTGATATAGTTTGCATTATGGTTTGACATTATTGGCACATGCATGATTCAATCCAAATTCATATGCTCCAAGAGAGTAAGCCCCAAAACCATAGTTTTGATTGAAAACTAGGTTCTAGAGAGGAGACTCATTTTCATAAACTAGGATGAAAATTTCTGAAAATCATAAGAGAGACCATTTAAGAGCATTTCAAAACCTCCAACAACTATAAGCAACATTGGAAAATCTTTGATGAAATGTGTTTTTTTGTGGAGTATTTTTTACTCATTGGATTAATCTGATTCGGAACTAACATTCGGTTCCGGTTCTAAAATTTTGAAACCGCTGCATAACGATTCGGTTCCAGTTTCAGACTTCGAAACTGGAACCAGAGTCGTTAAATAATTATAAATATTATGTTTTTTATTATATAATTATTAATATATATGTTTATTGATGCATTCAAAGAGATATTTATAGTAAAAGTATGTTCCCATGTGTAATATTATATAATTATGAATGGGTTTAGAGTCATTAAATTTAAATTCAAAAAAAGGAAACAGGAAACCAAACCAGTTCGGTTTGGTTCCAATTCCATGTCCCAACGATTCTAGTTCTGGTTCCAATTTTTAGGAATCGTTGGGATCGGTTCCGGTTTCATCCGGAACCGTGTGCAAGGGCAGATGCAGGGGGGCTCGGGTGGACTTGAGCTCCTCCAAATATATATATATTTTTTTATTACTATAGGTAAATTTAGTCCAATCCAAAAACAAAAAACAAATTAGTAGTAATATTAGCCACCCCAAATATTAGCCCATCCAAACAAGCCCAAGAGGTAAGACACAATTTTAAATCAAAAGGCCAACCAAACACGCCTAAATCCCTAATATTAGCCCCCATTGACAATTACTGGATTCGCCCTTGACCGTGTGCACCCATACTCTCAACCCACCCAATTCACCTTATTTGCATCCCAACTATTATTGGGCTCAGGTTAAAACTTGGACTACTTTCAGAACTTTACATAGAACACGGACCATACTGGGCCTATTTCCGAAACTTGTAAAGCCCAACTGAAACTTGAAAGTAAAACATGTGGAATATGGATAGGATTCCCTGTTGGGAATATTTGTTGAATTCGATTGGGCCCAAAAGGTTGTCCAGTTCAAATATGATCTGATTAAATTGGGTTAAACCCAATACCACCTATCTATCATGTTCCACTACAAATGCAGGCTCATTGGTGGTGGTGGTTGTTTTTTTTTTTTCGTTTTTTGTTTTGCAGGCTCATTGGTTTAGTAAAGTAAAAATTGATTATGCTTTGCTGAGGAAATAAAATTGTACTTGTCATTTCTTGTGGTCTACAAGGCTATAATATTTTTTTTTTTGGGGAAATAATATAATTGATTACTATAGAATCCTGGCAAAAATGGACTCACATCAAAATCTTATATAGCTATCCTAAAATCTAACATAAAAATCTTATGTGGCTATCTTCAAATTTTAAATCAAACATAATTCTTTTTATAATGTGATTATCTAAAAATCTTAACCACAATTCTTTCCATAACCTGGTTATCCTAAAATTCCAGCTCATACATAATTCTTTCCATCTTTTTTTTTTATATATATTTTTTATTTTGTTGTATTTAGAAAAATAGAAAAACAAACTCTTTCTATATATATATATATATATATTTTTTTTTTTTTCATTTTCGCAAACTAGGTTTTCATATCTCTGAAATGTATTGGAATGCTTCTATAAGAAATTAAATTCTACAAAATCTAGAACATAAATTTCATTTGAAGTTTTGAATATCAACAAAAATCAATGATTGAAGAACCTAAATTCTTATTTTATTGATTTATTTGTGCTTTCTTTCATAATTATTGCTTTGTTAAATTTTCAATTGTTACTTTCTTTGAGAGTTTAGTTTAGTTTTTTTTTTTTTTTTCCCAGTTTTGTATATATATATTTTTTCCTACATAATGTAATTTTTAAGCTTTTCATTCAGGAATGTTTAATCCTATATATTAATATAAGACAAATGCAGAAAATACTCCAAAATTATACTCTGCGCAGCAATTTTACCATATTCGAAAAAGTGTGCAAAAAATACCCTCACTCTTTTTACATTGTGCAAAAATACCTCTCAATCAAAAATCTGACATAAATTAGTGTTGTAATACTCGTTTTGCGCTTTTATTATTTCAAAAATGTCAAAGGGGTGTATATGTTACTAATTTCATAGTATAGGAGTGTTATGTGCACATTACCTCACATTTAATTTTTATTTTGAAACTTTTTTCTCTCTCTCTATATATATATATATCTAAACATTTTTTTTTTTTTTTGAAACTTTGAGAATTTATAGAACAAGGATTTGAAATTTTTGAGATTTCATTTTACTATTTTTTACTAATTTTTTTTTTATTTTTATTTTTAATACCAACACTGTCAAACAAATAATGATAAAGGAAAAAAATTCCCAATATCAGCGTGCACTATTCGGGTTTGGAACATATTTGTTTTATTCAGTTTGCACTTTATTTTCGTTTTTTATTTTTTATTTTTATATTTACTTTTCTTTTATACTTTTATTTTTATTTTCTATTTCATCTTTATTTATCAATTTCTAACGTCCTCCAATAGTGTTATTTTAGGTCATTTTACAAAATTATTATTATTTTTAATATATTTTATAAGAAAATTAGAGAGCGTGGCTGAATTTATTCTTTTTTTTTTTTTTTTTTTTTTTTTTTGTCCTTATTTATCATTTCATGTTTTTGTAATTACTAATTATTTATGTATTTGTGACTTTGTAAAATGGGACTCTTCAGTCATTCATTATCAAATTAAAAAAATTTGCTTTGAATAATATTGAAGGGATTTCAGCTTAATTTGGAAGGAATTGTGATTATTTTATAGAAATTGCTTGTATAAAGTTACTTATATAAAAATTGATTTCTAAAAGTAGAAAATAAAACTTAAATTGATTTTATAGTAGATTTGTTATGACTTTAATATTAAACCTTTTTGTTACTCAGATTTGATAGCCTTTTATGTGCTTCTATAAAAATTGCTTTCTGAGATTAGCAGATAAAACTTAAATTTATTTTATACTAGTAGATTTGTTGGAACTTTAATATAAAGATTATACTTTTTGTTACTCGATTTGATGGGCTCCTAAATTATCTCCTCTCCTCTTAAGTCAGTGAGTCACCGAACCTCAATAATATTCGCACCTCTTTTTATCAATCAACCAAATCAAATCTTTCATCGGCGGATCACAACCGTTGATTCAGGTCCCACCATCAAAGTTTTCTACAAAACCCCAACTCTCTCATCGTAAATTACGCTCGGGGTTTTGATTCTGACACTCATGGATGCTCTCGATTTCTCTATACCACGGTGTTGATCTCTCGTCAACCCCCAATCTCTATCAATAAACAAATTAGGGGTTTCGATTGAGCTGTTTAGCAGTTTCAGAAGGGTTTTTATTTTTTATTTTTTTTATTCTACAAATCAAAATTGATTGTGTCGTTTTTGGGTTTGTTGTTGGTCATCAATAATATGGAGCAAGAATCACAGAAGAATTTGACCCAATCCTCGAATTCTCCTATGTTCTGCGCGAATAATTGTGGGTTTTTCGGAAGCTCAGCGACGAATAATCTCTGCTCGAAATGTTTCAAAAAATATCTTTTGAAGCAATCCAACGCCTGTTCGGTGTTGGAAGAAAGTAAAGTTAGTGTGGATGATCAAGTAGTAGATGAAAATTCGAGACTGGTTGAAGGAGTTGAAGAAGCCAAGGTTGTGGAGATTGAGGAGGAAAGTAGTTCGGAGAATCGGGCTGCGAATAGGTGCAGTTTTTGTAGGAAGAGGGTTGGATTAACTGGGTTCAAGTGTCGGTGTGGGCTGACATTTTGCTCGATTCATCGATACTCGGACAAGCACAACTGTGTTTTTGATTACAAGAGTGCTGGGCAGGATGCTATTGCGAAGGCGAACCCGGTTGTGAAGCCAGACAAGGTTGAGAAGATCTGATGGTGATGGTGGATTGCTCATTCGTTCGTGGGGATATCAGCTATGTAAAGTATGGTTTTAAGTATAATGGGATGCATTAGGAAATAAATATCTATGTTTATTGTGTCTGTTTATGTACAGTTTGGTTGTTTTTAATGCATTGTCAATTAATGGTATTTGATGTGAGAAATGTGAGTTCAAATCTTGATTAGTGATTTTCTAGTCCCGAGTTCTCTTTGGTGCTTGTTTGATTCTGTACCTTGCATTTCTCTGTGCTGGTTTTGTTGCCTTGTCCTGCAGTGTCTGTTTTGCGTAGGCAAGTGTGAGTGTGCGTACGTATCAGGACATATTACCACTTCAAGGAAAACCCTATTGATATATAGGTGCACAACTAAATAAAAATAAAATAAAATAAAATTTGTGTTTTTGATGTAACTTAATCAAAATAATTACTCAAAATAATATGTCAATTAATGGGTTCTTTAGGGGAAAAAATTGGATTTAGATTCAAAGAGGAAAATTTGACTTTTTTTTAAGGAAATTAAACAAATTTAAAGAGTAACAAAGAGAAGAAATACAAAATTTAAGAGTTAATTTTAGAAAATAATAAAATGAATTTTTTCATATACACATATAAAAATACATAAATTTAGTATTGATGCAATTAGATGGGGGCAGGAGAAGCTTCTTGGGTATGAGTTCGTAAGTTGATGGAATAGAGAAGCTTCCACAGTAACCGTGGAGTAGGATAATTGTCGGTGGACTGAAAATCATCAAACAGCTACTAGTCATATGTTCAGATTGATAGGCTCTTCCTTGAACGGGTGCCTGGTGGTCTTACCTTAGTGGTGTTCTGTTTATTTATTATTAATTTTTTTTTTTCTTTTTTATGTGTTCTTTGCTCATATATGGTTGTTGCTCTTCTCTTTCCCTTTCTTTTGCTTAAAGGAATCTTCTAGTCTTGTCCTTGTCATTCTTTCTCTTGTGAAGTGAGTTTTCACGTAGGTGATAGATAGTGAGGAGGGTTCGTGATTGTCATATATAGCAATTACAATTGGTTGGTATAGTCATGGAAAGACTTTTTATTTAATATATCTTTTAAAAAAAAAAAATTTATTTACTTATTTTTGCCGCTGAGGAAGGCAAATGGTACTCTTGAAACATGTAAGAATTGAAATTAGATCACAATAGGTATGTATGGTTTGAACCACCTAAGCAAAACTGAAATTCAAAGCTCAAATAACATCTCTATCGTTTAATAGGTTTAGGCAGGGAATTTATAATACAACCCATATAGGGCTCACTCGTTGGTAGTAGGACAATTATTCCTATTGCTTTACAGCAATTCCTTCTTTTTTACAGCAATCCCTTCTTGCACATGAAACCTTCATTTATTGAGCCACACCAATGTTGTCCAAACATGTGTGGCTTGTCTTGTGCTAAAGAACAGGGAGATTCAAGTCCTTTTCAAAGCACAATATTTAGTGTCTACTGAATGTGCAATTCAATAAGAGAAATTGGATATGTTTGATATCTATGCAATGAATACAAATAGATCCACAACAATTTCTATTGAAAAGAATGAAAACAAACAATGAGAAGTCAATGACACGGGAAAATTTTAAATTTTCAAAACTAGGGCTTGAGCGAAAAAGGAGGCTTCTACCGCAAGGCGGAAGATAATTTTCTGACCTCACAGAGGTGAAAAATGACAGGAATAAGGGTTGACTTGAGTAAGGGATTCAACCAAGAATCAACAGTGAATGGAACTTAAATTACTTTTTCTCCTATAGAACATGCCTCAAATGTATATTTGGCAAGCTACTAATCCAGAACTTAGGTATTATTACTCTATAAGATAACACGTGAGAATATGATGTACGAAGCTCTGATGCTAATTGTTGTAAGAGGGGAGGAGAAAGGAGAAGAAGGATAGAATCCAATTGTTGATAGTCTGATATCAATTGCTTGCAAAATTCCCAGAATTTGTTTCTGTACATTTGGACATTCCATAAATGTTGAAGAGCTACCGTGGTTACGATTTGATACACCATCCTAGAACTTGTTCACATCAACTGTTGTTGATCTCTAGCATTACAAACTAATAAAAAGTAACTTATGGAACTTTCTATGAGTTCTCTTACTTATCAAAAAAATATATTAATTACTGTGAGCTTCTCAATCAACAGCAATAATTCTATTTTGAATGGTAGTATTAATAGGTTATGAAACATCAAGAAGATAGTGCCTGGCTGCTAGTTTCACAAGTGGTCTCATGGGTGTAAACTTGACGTCGTTTGTTGAGATATCTTTTTGGATCTTTTGGCAAGTCGTGAACAGGATGCAACCTTTTCATTATGACCTGCTACTTCATGGTTTAACGTATAATTCAATAATTTATTTAACTTGGTAATTGGTATTGGCAATGCTATTTTTATTTCAACATGAATTTCAAATCATTGACAAAATGTTATATTCAAATTGATCGCCATATATAAAATGGTGTGGCATGTTAAAGGCAATTGAGTTTTGAGTTATTTCCTTTTGTTTATGCTTAGGCAGGAAATTTCTGGGAATTTACTTGCTTAAAAAAGGTACATATTTTTCTAAATTTCCATTGGATTTAAGTTTTCCGTGGTGCTTCATTTTTTTTATTTTCCATCTTTGTGCTTGATTCATGTGTTTATTTTGTGTGCGAATAATGGACTGCTCACATTTTTCTTTAAAAAGAATACATAATACAAGAGGATTGGGTTGTGTATGTGTTTGAGAGGTAGAGGGCATACAAAATTGTGTGGTACCAACCTTGAAATGATGCTATGGAGGTTGGGTATAGAATGTGTCCGACGCTCCTATTCCTGGAGGTACTTGTATTGGGATGTCAAACATATCAGAATTATAGTTTTAATTGACTAGCTGTTTTCTGATGAGCTTTCTATGTTTCTATCAGATTAAAATAACAGAGCATTAACGTTGACAGCGCTTTGTTCCGTAGATACTCTACTTTCTTCGGGTTTTTAGTAAGACAGGTAAGATAAAACAATTCAACTGTGTCCTAAACTTCGGGTTTTTAGTAAGACATGTAAGATAAAATAATTCAACTGTGTCCTAAACTTCGGGTTTTTAGTAAGACATGTAAGATAAAACAATTCAACTGTGTCCTAAAGATTTAGGGTTTGGATGAGTTCAATGTCTAGACAGGAACCTGACTAACATATCGTGCCTCATGTAACATGGACTCGTCCAAAAAAATTGAGAGGGCACACAGTGGTGTGTGAGCCTATTGGAAAGAGGGCACAGTAGGATGGGGTTGGGTTAGTGTAGTGGTTGCCTGTAGGTTTAGCCTGGGTTAGGAACACTTTATAGTTAGAAAAAATTCTGAGAGAGATTTAGATTAGAGATTTCAGAAATGGAAAAGGTTGTATGGGGACTAATTCATCTGTTTTCAAACCTAATTGTGTGCTTCGAATAATACAGCTTTGGCATGAAACCAGTGAATGCAAACTCAATTGTGCATTGGGCTGGATGGCTTATGATGATTACGATGATGGTGATTTCATTTAAGATGATAAATATGATTTTGCCTGACCTGCTGCTTCAATTAGTATTGCAATATTTGTCTTCCAAAGGTTAGAATTTGATATTCTTCTCAGCTGGTTTGAAACATCCTAAAGTTCTGTTATTTGTGATTTATTTCGACAATGAAGGCCTTGATCATACAACGGACAAACACGTTCTTGAACTGCTTGTTTGTCTTCTCTCTATTTGTAAACACTGTGTGCGCGCAAAAATATTGACAAGTACCAGTGGATCCAGTTTTATTCAAGAAAATGTAATTTTTCCAATTATGACATCTCTTTGTTCCAAAGCTGCTTTAATATTTTGATGAATTTGGAGTTTAATCTAAAACCATGATTTGGTACAATCTTACGTGCTTGCTCTTTAATTAGTTTAATATCTTTTACATAGACTGTGGATGGGTGTGTGCATTCGTGAGATAAATAAAACAGCTGATTTTCTGACTTTTGTGGCATGTTCTCTTCATCTTCTGGGTGCTAAAGATAAAAGATATTGATAAAGTGATAGGATATCTCTCTGATTGTGAAAGGTCTCTGATATTTTTGGAAAGTCGTTTTTTTGTTTTTGATTTTTATGGGGTGGGTCATAATGATAATTACTCTAAATCTTCAACACAGTAAAGCCATGTATTTTGAATATTGCTGAGTTTTAAAATAAAATTTATTTGATTTGGTTTGTTATTCTTGAAAGATATATATATTTTTTCTTAAATTTCACTACACCTTCTAAGGTCATCATTTTGTTGTTGGAATGAATTCAACCATGCTTAATTCACAATCTTCAAAAGACGTATGTTACAATTATTTGACATATTTCTAATAGTATATTGTAAATTTAGAGATGCTCGGAAAAAATAGAATAAAACTAACCATTGAAGAAGATAAGAAATAAAGGGAGACTCTGAAGTCTTGGGGGTTTCACTTAAAAAATTGTTAGCCAAAGCCAAAACTGTGATCTAACCTCGAGGGGTTCACCTTTCTGAACAAAATTGGCCATGGGACAATGGAGAAGGTATTGGGTTTGTCTGGCGCATCGTGCACTAGACTTATTCAAGTCGTACGTATTGTGCACGTGCAGACGCTTGTTGTGCATGTGCAGACGCTTGTTGTGCATGTGCAATTCGAATAAACCAATGCATAGTGTATTCGACGGATTCAATATCTATTCCAAGACAATAATAGAGGAGACGGGCAGAGGGAGAGGGGGGCAGGGGTGGCCATGGCCCCCCCAAATTTTTGGTAAAATTTTAGTACTAGTACTAAATTATTTATATTAATAGACATTTTTCTATATAAAAATTAAATGGGCCCCCCCAAATTTTTTGTAAAATCTATTTGTAGTACTAAATTATAGTTTTTAATGGTAATTTTTCTAAAAACTAAAGTTCGTTCTTCAAAATTTTTGTAAAACTCTATTTAAGGTACTAAATTATAGCTACTAATGGTGATTTTTATATAAAAATTAAATCTTGTCTCTCCCAAATTCTAAATTTTTTTATTTTTATTTTTATGGTTTACCTTATGATTATTGAATGTGGTTTGTTAATGAAATTACTTATAACCTTTCAAATTCGAATAAACATCTTGCTTCAAAAAATTCAAAATATAATTAAAAAAAAAACCATTATCATAGTTACTAATGATGATTTTTTATATAAAAATTAAATCTTGCCTTTTCCAAATTCTAAAAAAAATTATATTTATGGTTTACCTTATGATTATTGAATGTGGTTTGTGAAAGAACCTTTTCTTTTTTCTTTTTTTTTAAGATACGGTTTGTGAATTATAACCCTTCAAATTTGAATAAACTTATTGCTTTAATAAATTCAAAATATAGTAATAATAATAATAATAACCATTATTATGATAATCCTTATTATAACATATTTTATTTATACAATTATACACACACACACATATATTATTTGTTATGAATTAGAGAGAAGAAAAAAAATGGAATTGACACTTGAAAACCTTAACTGTTTTTAATTTGCTCTATTTTTCTTTTAATATCACCTATAAACACATGCCCTTAACATTAAAAATGAACTACAAAAATTACAAGGATTTTATTTTATTTTTTAAATTTAATTTTATATTAATGAATTTGACCCCCCAAATATTATTCCTGACTCCGCCAGAAGAGATGTTCAATGAGTTCATCTCGGTTCCACACACGTAAGCCCTGAGAGGAGATGTTCGATGAGTTCATCTCTATTCCGCACACGTTAAAGGTGGCCATCATCATCTACCATCTCCCTTTGTTCAAAATTCAAATTTATTATAACAAAAAAGCCGCTGTGGCTAAGTTTCCATAAAAGAACATAATTTCCTTTTTGGACTTTAACTTCCATACGCCTTTCTTGGCTTAAACTCTTTCAGTGATGTTACCGTTTATCCATTCAAAATGATAAATATTTTATTTGTTAGTAACCCAAACATTAACATATATAATGCATTAAAAATGAAATGATTACTTCATTTTGAGGTTAGCTCGTTTTGGCATCAAATTTAGTCCAATTAGTGAGACGACATAAATTGTGAAAGAGACATTTTCACCCTTCTTTGCCACCTACCACAGAAAAAGGGCTTGGAAATTACATGGGAAAGAAAAAACACACACATAAATTAATTAAAAATTTATGGTAAAAAAATAATTAATATACATATTTTTTTATTCACAAATAACTCCCACAATTATGTTGAAAGAACTTGAACTCTTTATATTTCACTTTGAAATAAGAGTTACTATTAGACTATCGATAAATTGTGACTTTCCATATCATTTTGTCGACACTTATAGGTATGAATGTGTGTGTGTTTTTCGTTCCCATGTTACTTACAAACCCTTTTTCTATGTACCTGTGCTGGGTGACAAACAAGGGTGAAAAAGTCTCTTCCACAATTTATGTACATGTTTTGAAAAAAACACACACATTAAGTATATCTATGTTTATGTACATACTTGTTTTTGAAAATCATGAGCATGAATAGTGTGCAAGAAGTGTAATATTTACGGTGTGGATCGAGTCTTGACAAATGACATTTGAGCGAATTTTTAATCGAAAATGAGAGTATGCACAAGCCTATGAGGGTCCAAGACAAAAAATAATTTGCTATAGGCGATTTTAATCTAGCTAAAAAAAATTATCATTCAAAAAAATATTAATCCACCCTATTAACAATTCTTGAAACGCCTTATTAGTGACGATCCTCAAAAAAAAAATGTAAAAGGTTGGTGAAAATAAATTCAGGACCACTCATAAACATAGACAAAAACTATCAGAACCAACCCTCTTGAGAAAATGGAGGCGTGGCGTAGTCCTCGTAAATGGTGGATAATACTACAGTAATAAATAAACAAATTTTAATTGAGAAATTTTAATAAATAAAATTTTTTTGGTCCGGCTTCGCAGGAAGTCCAATTTAGAAACTAGTAAAAAAAACTCATACACACCTCAATGTAAAGCGCTTTTGAGACAAGTGGCTTACAAGCCCGTTCCCGTTGCAGTGATTGTGCGTCCCGGTACTCAACCAGTGGTGCAAAAGGTTCCGCAAAACGGGGGCTAAATCAGATAGTAGATTCTGCATAACAGAAAGAAGTTACGCCCAAATTACGCCCAACGCCCGTTGGGACTAAATCGATCAACTAAAGCTCACTCTCTCTCTCTCTACCAGTAGTGATTCATTCACAACTATCAGGTGAGTTTTCTTGCAATCGATCTCGATGTCATGTACATAAATTATCGCATATATATATATATATATAATTCTTCTTGTTTCTAAGTTTGCGTTTGTTTTTAGTGGCCGCCACTCATTTAATGAATTGACCTAAAGATATATATACACACACGAGCGTATACATATGGATTTCGTACCTTGATCTCTTGGATTTGTGAATAATATGTGCATTGAGCCTGCATGCAATATCCAAAAGCGATTGATGAATAGATGAATTGAATGGCAGATTAGGTTTGAAGGTGAAGAACGCAGAGAACAGGCTTGCAAGACGCTGATTCAAAGCATGTATTAGGTGTAAAAGGTAAAGTTATGCTCATTCTTTGTTAACGTTGTGATTGCCAACTGGCAATTGAGGGATTACGAATTTATTGGTATCTAGGTATGCAAATTTGAATTGTCTTGGTTAAATTTGCTTGATTAAGTACGGGGATTCGAGTAGAAGTCAATGAATTCTTGCGGATGCCATTGTTTGCTTATGGTAGTTTTGGGTTTCTAATTTATTTCATTCTGGTGCGTGCATATATGAACTTGCTACTGGTGCAACCACGAGTTCACTGTTCTTATTCTCTCGTACTGTTTGTTGTCTTCCTTCATAGGACCGGTATGGATTTTAATTCCGGTGGCGAGGCTCCTGCTATACTGCAGTTGCGGAAATGGGACCCACCTGGAGTTCAACTAAACCTATCAGAATTCCGTGAAGCTTTCATTTCTCCAACAAGGGAGCTTTTGTTATTGCTTTCCTATCAATGTGAAGCTTTGCTGCTTCCTCTAGTAAATGGTGAATTTCTAATGTCATCTGCCTCCCTTGGCTTGCACAAGTTTTTGGTAAGTTGCCAATATTTGATTATCTTGTTTTGCATCTGCAGGGGAATCTATAAATAGTAAGAATTCTGAAACTGGTTGTTATGAGAATATTCAGAATCTTGGTTCTTTAGCTTCTGGTTCACCAGAGTTGGCCGCGCCTAGTAGGTCAGTTCCAAGGGAGAACATTTCAAGCACTTCCGAATCAATAAAGATGGTTTCTGAAAATGATTTTTCTGTTGACATTAATTTTTCAAGATCTAATAATTACCCTTTTCTTGGTGATGTAAACTCATTGTCTTGGGGTATATGTGGGGATAACTATAATCAGCATGAGGAGGCCTCATTTAGAGAATTACTTTTCGTGTCTGGCAACCATGGTGTGACAGTCCATGCTTTTCGTCAATCCCAAGGAACCAGTGGGATGATCAAACCCTCATCAGAGGGTGAGACTGGAGAAGGGATGTGGGTGGAATGGGGGCCTTCTACTGCCTTACCCCACAATAAGGTGGCACCGGTACACTCTAGCGTGGGTTGTGAAGCCCCTGGAGATGTCCTGGATGTAAAGAGGACCAATGGAACTAAGGAAAGTCTGGATAGTCTTTGTGCGGAAGCTGAAGACGATGAGTTGTCAAGAAGTGTTCCTCCAAAGCGATTTTTGCAAACTTTTTTGATCGAAGCTGAAACTATGAAATCTGATGGTAAAATTTGGACAAGGTTCCCAGAGAAGTCGTCATTTCCTTCCTCAGCAATGGTTGTTTCGTTTAGCATTTTTGATAGTAATTCGCCTCTTTTGGACTTACTTTGTCATGGCAGTACTGTGTCGCATGAAAAAGAGAGCTGTAGTAAATCTGTTTTAGATCATGTGAATAATACATCTACAAAGTCAGATACGAGCTCCTCCAGCAAAGTACTTAAACCTGATGCTTTGTCTGACTCTTTGAGTGGTGGAATTAGTGGTTCATACAAATGCTCTCGGGTGTTCTCTAGCAATTCACATCATTTTATTGGATTTGCCTTAAAATTGGTGGATCCTGTATCTGTCAACACAAGTGATTTACGTGAAAAGAACTGGGACAAAAATTTACTTGTTGTTGCCAAATTAGAGAGGTGGGGCATACAGTGGGTTTGTTTGGTGAAGCTTGATGAAATTATAGACAGGGACCCAGTGGTTGAGTGGACGGACTTTGGATTTTCTGATACCTTTCTTATTTGTCTTAATGCTGCTGGATTAGTTTTATTTTATGGTGCTATGACTGGTGAGTATGTAGCGCATTTAGATATTTTACAAATTTGTGGACGTCATCCTCAATTAAATTTTCAGGAGCAAGAAAAATTAGTTACGGAAGGTGATTTGGCTTCCAGAGGTGCTGATATTGTAAATAAACAAGATACGGTTAATAGCAAGTCATTTTGTCAAACTGGTGATTTTGTTGGTAAAAGAATGTTTAGAAGGCTGCTTTTTGCTTCACACACCTCACTCTTAGCCGTAATTGATGATTATGGTGTAATTTATGTAATACGAGGCGGCGACCATATGCCAGAGAAGTATTATTCATTTGAGAAATTGCTTCCCAATTTTCAGCATATAGGTCTTGGAACATTGGTTGGTTGGGAGGTTGGTGGTGCTGAAATAAGCCACCAAAGGTTATTTTCTGATATTTCAGGTTGTCATAATTCAAATGTGGAATCCATAAGGAATAAAAGTTCATCCTTTATGGATGTCTTTAATGAGCTTTACAAAATCCAGGAAAAGCGTCTTAAGGAGAAGGGCTGTCAGCGTGATTCATTTACGAGTGGTTTTTCTTCTGCTTCCCAAATGATGGATCAAAGGTTTTGTGTTTCTCAGTTATCATCACGCCTTATGAGAGAAATCTTTCTTCCAACAGATAAATTTAGTGAAGATGATATTGTTTGTTTTTCTCCTTTTGGAATCACTCGGCTCATTAGAAAGCAAAATGGAAAGGACAAAAGAAGTCAGATTGTTCATTCCCATTTGCATGTAGACTCAGTAGTGAATGATGACCAGTACTTTAACCTCCAAGGTTGGGATGCCTCTATTGGAGAAGCCGTTGGTTGCACTTTCCTGGGATGTTTTTATTTGGTGACAGAGGCTGGTCTTTCAGTAGTTCTTCCTTCAGTACCAGTTTCTAAAAATTTTCTTCCTGTTGAAGCTATTGGATATCGACAACCAAGCATCGGTACTGACACTGGGCATCAAATTGGGGACCTTTTGGAAGTGAAGGGATTGAAACAGCCTTGGTCACCTTGGAAAGTAGAAGTTTTGGATAAAATTCTTTTATTCGATGGTCCGGAAGAGGCAGATTGCTTATGCTTGGAAAATGGTAAGAATCTTTAAAAATGTAGTTAAGAGTGTTATAGCCAGCCGAAACATACTTGCTATTAAATGGTAGCCATTGTATTCATTAGCAATGGACTAGTGTTTTTCATAATTATATGCTGCTTCAGGCTTTATTTCTAGCACTTCAATTTGGTATGCTTTTACCTTTTTCTCCACGTCCTATTGTTATTTATTTTTATTAATTTTGCATTGAGTTCTTTTCTCATGGCAAGTGATGAACTTTCAATTGATGATTTTTAATGCTTTTACTCAAAAAAAAAGAAAAAAAAGAAAAAAGAAAATGGAAAAAAAAAGAGAAAAAGAAGAAGCTATATGTTTACTCTTCAACTGTAATAAAATCAAAATTCAAATTAATAGTATTTTGAAGTTTGAGACCTGGTAGTTTCTTATATTTTAGGGGTAGTTTGGCAGTTAAAATTACCAGCTATTCGGTTCACCACGGAAGTGACGTCCATGATGAGTAGTTTGATAGTTAATAGTGGACTACTGTTGCAAATGCTACATACCAATTCCGGATAGGCATAACTTATTCTCATTCTCAAGTGAATCTTGCTTCAGTTGTTTGGAAGCCTTTGCTTTTGGAGAGAGTCAAATTTTATCTTGATGATAACTCTCTTGGCATATAGGCTGTTGTTTTAGGGGTTGGTGTGTTGGTTCATGTGTGGCTTGTTTTTGTTTATGTGTCTGGACTGTTGTTTTTTGTCGCATTCCTAGTCATTTGCTAGAAGGATTCCTCATCTTTCTTTGCCATCGTATATCTATTTTCTCTTTGTAATTTATCCTTGTAGATTGAAGCTTAAGTTACTTTGCAAGGTGATTAATTGGCACATTAGTTCTACAAATTAATAATTGATTGCCTTTAAACTTTGTATTGGACTGCTATAAGTTGGATTAACTTTGGACGTTTAAAGCCACAACATTAACTCAAACCATATGCTCAAACCATATGGAAGATGGTACTCTTGCTAGACCACTATTTCTCTGAAATTGGAGTTGATATGAAATTTTATTGAAGTAAAAAAGCTTATATACGAAAATACGATTCTTCCTTCTGTTGGTTCAGTAGAATTAAGGAATCAACTACTACCTTTTATTGTAGAAGCATTGCGCTTTATTGTGTTAGTTGAACTATCAATTTGCTTGTTTTAGTTAGTAGCCAACTAGCCCTAGAAGCAATTCCGGGTAGCCCGAACAGGTGTCAGTTGGAAAAATGATATGAGGTGGCCTAATCTTGTATATCAATAACGAAAAACTAAGTAGTATGGGCAATTCTACGGGAGTGTTGTGTCTGACACATGCACATGTGTGTAACTAGTGTCATGAAATCAGGATCACCGGGAAAGGTGATCTCCTCTTTCTTTTTCGCTATATTTTCTTTTTCATTTTGGGGATGGATGCTTTCAGTAGGATGCAAGGATATTTCTTGAGGGGCTTTGAGGTCGGTGCAGCTCCTGGAGGTCTCCTTGTATTATTTCTTCTTATTTGCCTATGAAACTATTGTTTTTTTGTGGCATAGATGCAGAGCAATTGAGTACTCAAGGAGCTTCACTGTCTGTTTTGGAGCTTTATGTGGATTGGAGGTAAATATTGGAAAAAATGATATGATTTTGATGGGGAAATGGAAGAGGTGACTACTGACTAGTCTGGCAGCTATTTTAGGTGGAAGGTCGGATCTTCCCTGTGTTCTTTTTGTGGCTAGTGTTGGCCTTCTTACAAGGCAAAATCATTGTGTATTCTATGTTTAGAAGGTCTTAAGAGTATATTGGTGGACAGAAGAGGTATTTGTCTAATTTGATTCAATGGAGAGAGAAACGAGGGGACAATTCCATTTATGCAGCAGTTGTACATTATATCCGCGATAATCTCATTTCTTTGGATGAAGATTCTTATTAATGCAAGGCAGGATTATTCATGTCATAACTAATATGTACTTTATCTAGACTTCTTATCCGTAACATACTTTTTTTCCATATTTCCTTTTCCAACTTTAGTTTGGAAAAGGCTTGAGACGCTTTATTCGGACTTTTTATTGGGAACTAGAGTATGAGTTTAAGTACCATCTAAGATATGGGAATACGATATGTTCTCTTATGAATGGAGGAGTGGTATCAAGAAGTTTAGGATGTTTAATCAAGATCGTTTTGGAAAATGATCGTGTACACATAGAAGATGGATTCTTCATGGAGAAAAATGGTAGAGAATGTATGAAACTACGATGGGAGATTGGTTGTCTAACAAATTTCGAGTTTCTTATAGAGTTGAGCTATTGGGAGCATCGAGAAAGGTTGGTAGGAGTTCTCCAAATTGATTGGATATGTTATGGGCAATGGGCAGTGCGTGAGGGTTTTGGCTTAATCCTTAGTGCGGGGATGACCCATTGAATTGTAGTGACTAGCCGTTCTGGTCTGTTTTCTTAAAACAAGTGAATTCATATTATTCCCCCATTTCTCACACACAATAAGTCAGTCATTTCCTTTCCTTTCTCTTCCATCATATTTTTCAAATAAGATGAATGGTTAACAATATCTTTTCCTTTCTTTTCTCTCATTTTTCCAAACAAGGAGCAGTTAACACTATCATCTCCTTTCCTTTCTTTTCTGTCATTATAAATGTTATCCTGTCCTTTCCTTTTTTCTCCTTCTTATCCAAACACATTGTTAATAAGGTGCTGGGAGGATGGGGACCCTAGTCCTTTCATTGGAAGGGTATACCTATCAATGTGGCTTTCTTTGGAAAAACCATGTTTCAGTGAGAATATTGACCATTGTTAATTACTGGTTTAGGGGGGAGTTCCCTTCTAATCGGTGTTGCATGTGAAAGAGTGATAGTCTTTAAATAATTTATTGATTATTGCAATGTGGCTGGGGATCTATGAGCCCTCTGCCATTCTCTTTTTTGGATTCCATCTTGTTTGCTCGATACAGCTTGCGAGACTTTCTTATATAGAGGGTGGAGTAAGGTGAACAAGAGAGCTTGATCTGTATGGCAGGTGGGACCATTATATTTCTGATGTTGCATATAAAAAGAGTGGAATGGGCACACTTCTGAGTGGAGTTGAAAGTTAGGTAGCTAAAATGACGTTTCATTTCTGTTAGTTCTTCTGTAATTTCTCTGAATGAAAAGAAGTTTTAAAGTTTGTATTCTTGGTATTTACTTTTTGTGCAGATGGACAGCTCTCCTTTGGCATTCTCTGTGAGATGACTTTCCATTTTCTCTAATTTTCTCGTACTGCTTTGGCTTTCGATCAGCCCTGTCAGTTTAATGAAGCTAATCCCTGTTCTGACATCCCAAACCAACCACACTATCCGTGGGTTTTTGAATCAAATCCTTTAGTAGAAAGAAAAAAAGTAGGAATATTTAGTCAATTTTGGATTCTGGACTAAATAAAGAATTAGTTTTAAAAGTTTTTTTACCACAAGCTAGTGGCAGTCTTTGTGACAAAAGAATCACAAATAGCTTTAAAGGAAAATTCTATAGGACAGTTATTAGACCGACTATTCTATATGGGGCAGAATGTGGGCTTTGAAAAACAAGCAAGAGCAATGCCTTCCTGTAGCAGAAATGAGGATGTTAAAATGAATGATCGGAGTGCCTAGAAGAGATAGGGTTATTAATGAGAGAGAGAGAAAAATTAGGATTGACACTCGTTAGGGAGAAAATAAGAGAAAGAAGACTTACATAGTATGGACATATACAATAAAGACATATAGATGCTGTAAAAATCTGACTTCAAAGTTCTGGTCAACTGAACTAGATGTTTGGCACTGATAAGGTTATAAGTCATAATATTAAGGAATATGTGCCCTGCATGATAGAGAAAATGCTTTGTTTAATTGGGGGTCAAGCTCTCTGCACTATGAAAGCTGGGAATGCATTTTTTAATCCGGAGTTGAGTTTCCTATGGTATGGTAAGTTGGAAAGGCGTAGTTTAATCAACTACTTGTTTTTGGTGGGAGTCAGCTAAGATTATTTGTTTCTGGCTTGCTAAGATATGGAAAGAGATCTGTCTCCCTTTGTTAATGGGCCTCTTAAAGGCAATAGCCATTTTGTGCTGTTAGTTAATTCTGACTCGTCTGGTCCAATGGTCAATCATCTCCAAATTTAGATGATGTTGGCTCTTATAATTCTCATTGTCGGTACAAGCTATGCCTATATTTGAGACATAATAATACAATGAACTGTTGTCTGAATTTGCTTTTTTGATTTGTTTGTGATGGATGCGTGGCATTCTTTTTCTTTTGGGAATCAATGCGTGTTTACCATTCATGAAATAAATTTTGATTGCATAATGACATACAGACTGATATTATGTCAGGGTGGGACTTGAAAATTTTCCGGATGCGTCGCTTGCAATTGGCTTTGGACTACTTGAAGTTTGACGAGATTGAGAAGTAAGATTCTGTTGTTTATCTTGGTCTCTTTATTTTTACCTTTTCTTTAATAGACTTGAAAACTTACTAAATAATACATCAAAGAGAAGTATGCGTGTGGTCAGTATTGGAAGCCAGTGTTTTTTGAGTGGACATTATTTTGAAAATAATAAAATCGACTTTCTCTTAGCATGCTTTTCGATTAAGTATCCGTGTAGGAGAAAGTATTCTTGTCATAAGGATGTCAATGGTGCTAACTGGCTCATCAGTGAGGAATCCTCTTGTGAGGGAGGCATCATCTAGGGTGAACTTGGTAGAACAAAGTCATTTAATTGATTTTCACAAGGAGAGGGTACAACATACTAGATCCATTTAGAATTTCACAGTAGGTTCTTATGAATGAGTAGGAGATGCATGTCTTACATTATATATTGTGGGCCTCCAAGTGGAGTCGGCTAGGTGGAATTCGAGATTGACTTGTAAAAGAGAGAGGGAGGAGAACCACAGACTTCTCAAAGTTAGGGATTGATATCAATCTACTAAAGAAGTCAAGGCCTAGCCTAGTGTTTCTTAGACTCTTCAAAAAGATGGCAAAAATATACCAGAGCGTCTCCCTCAAGTTTGTCAACTCTTAAGTCTCAAGGTTGTTAAAATCTTGGTCTGTACTAAAAGGTGTTCCTTCTAAATGTGTAGTAGAGTGTTATTTGTTATTCATAGCTTAGGACAAGACGGTTCTCATGCTGACGTCGTGTTTAATAAGGTCATATCATGCGTCCTTATTGCAGTTTAATAGGATGCCACCATGTGCATTAAGGCTGTTTGATAGGATGAAGTATTTGGGGTTCATTAAAACTATAGAGATGACAAAGGCATATAAGGGTGAGACCGTGAGAATGTTGAGACGGTGAGTTGCTAGGCGTACCTAACAAGCTTCTATTGGTTTATAAGGTGCTACTGCAGGCCATATATCATCTGAGATTGAGACTGCCTTTTGTTTTTTTTTTTTTTTTTTCGCTGAGGTATGTGCAGGAAAGGTCCAGTTATCAAACCAAGTATTGTTTGGATTCTAGAGGGTTGTGACATTTTCGTGTACACTATGGTGGGCTATAGTGACAGCCACTTAGCCGATGGGTCATGCTTCCAATTCCGCCTATTCAGTAGGGGTGGCAATTCGGGTTCGCGTGTGATAATCGTGTCGTGTCGAACTAGGGGTATAACACTAAACAGGTCAACCCGAACACGACATGATTAATAATCGTGTCACAGATCTTAAACCCGAACATGACATGTTTATTAAACAGGTAACACAACACGACACGTGTAACCCGTTTAATAAACGTGTCGTGTTAGACACACCAAACATGACCTGTTTAACATGTTTACCCATTTAACCTGTTTTAACATGTTTACCCATTTAACCTGTTTTAACATGTTTACCCCTTTAACCTGTTTAACATGTTTACCTGCTTAACTTGTTTAAGGTGTTTACCCACTTAACCTGTTTAAAGTGGCCAAAGATTAAAATACTAACAAATTAAAATACTATCAAACATTACTAGAAATTTTGTTTTGTAGTGATGTAGTCCAAAAGAGAGATTAAAAGCCAAAGATAAAGATTAAGTTACAAGTCATAAGTTACAGACCGAAATAAAGATAAATCATAAGTTATTACAGACCGAAATAAAAATATTTAATAGAAATGTCAGGGCAACATGCAATCTTCTTAAAAGCCAAAGATCCACAACTCAAAAACTTCCTTTTGGAATTTGCATGCACTCTTTTCTGAAACACCCAAAAGTAGAAATTCCTACAAAATAGGTAAGTGTAAAATAAGTTTAGATAAAAAAAAAAAAAAAAAAAAAAAAAAAAAAAAAAAAAACAGATTGAAATATAAAAGAATGCATGTAACAAATTATATGAAAAATAAAACAAATGTAGAGGGCTTTTTTACCTAGCTAGATTTTAATGTTCGGTCACGCTAACACTGGTGGAACATTGGCCTTCAGCAGGGTCATCATTGTTGATATTAAGTTTCATCATATTATCAATCAAGGCATCCACTTGAAGCTTCATTGTATCTATAGTAAAACATACACAAAAAAATTATTACTTCACTATTTTCTGCAATAATAAAAATATAGTTTGAAATTTATTGTAAGTCATTTACCTTTCAAACCAAAAAGCCAATCCCTCTTGCATACCAAAGCCTCCACATTTTCTGGTTTAAGTGCACTACGATATTGATCAAGAACCCGACCACCAACACTAAATGCAAACTCAGAAGCAACTGTAGTGATTGGAATGCTCAATATATCACGAGGTATTTGAGCAAGCACTGGATACCTAAACTGATTGGCTTTCCAATAGGTAAGCACGTCAAGGTTCGCATTCTTATTGATTTTTGGTTCATCTAAATAGAGTTCCAACTTTGATTTTTGGGCATTTCCAAGCAATTTATCATTCTCAAATGAGTCAAATTCCTACATTACAGTAATTAAGAAAAACAAATAGATCAATCAATGGTAAAAAGTAGAAAAACAAATAGATGTAATGAATAAAATAGGCATTAAAGGAATTTAATGTCTCACAAAAGTATTATTCACCTTCATAACATCAATGAACTTTTTAGTTAATTGTCCCTCATCAACTTGCCGGTGCCCACTTTCATCATTTGGTGAAGATGTGGATTTGGTGGTACAAGCCATAGGAGAATTCAACAAATATTGATCAAAAAGGTTAAACAGTGCATCACGAACTAGTGTGCTCTCAATGTTGTTATCACCATTAAGCTTGTTATAGCTAAAAATAACAAACCCAAGCTTGTATCTAGGATCTAAAATCACAGCAATAGCAAGGATCATGCTATAATCAGACCAATACTTTGCAAACTTTGAATACATTTGAGTTGCCATCTTGCTCATAAACTGATCCTTACTATCCATTTCCTCTCGCAATGTCAATTGAACCGAAAACACAGATGGAAAATGCAAGTTTGCTGTGGGATACTTGGATCCAGAAAAGATGTTTGTAACATCATAAAAAACAGTTAAGAACTTGTAAATCTTTTCTATCCTACTCCACTCCTCTTGAGATGGGCAGAACTTGTAATTTGAATCACTCAAGTGCAAATGACAAAAAGCCCGATGATAATAAATGGTAGACTCAAGCATAAGATATGTTGCATTCCATCTTGTAGGAACATCTTGCCTTAACCCTCTTTTACATTCTAAGGAAACATGAGAGACACATTCCAAGAATTTTTGTTTCCTCATTTGAGAACCTTTGACATACTTAACACTCTCACGAATCTTTATGATTGATTCATCAACCTCTTTTAACCCCTCTTGCACTATCAAATTTAAGATATGTGCACAACAACGAATGTGAAAAAACTCCCCACCACTTAATAAAGCATCATTCAAATTGAGTTGAGACTTCAACAATTCAACAAATGAACAGTTTGAAGAAGCATTGTCTAGAGTAATTGAAAATAGTTTCTTTTCAATCCCCTATTCAGCTAGCAATGTATAAATCTTTTTTGTCAAAGCAACACCTGTGTGGAGATGGCATATAAGAGAAGTTCAAAACTCTTTTTTTGTAAGCGCCCATCTACATCAATAAAATGTGCAGTAAGAGATAAGTACCCATCGGTAGTCAGAGAAGACCACAAATCAGATGTTAGAGAAATCCTACCATTTGTTGATTCCAACATATGTCGAAGCCTACCCTTTTCATATTTATGCATCCTTAATATGTCAGCCTTGGCTGTGTTCCTACTTACGGGTTGAGCCTCCTCATTTAAATAACGACACATGTTTCTAATGCCCTCATATTCAACAAATTGAAATGGCAGATCATGCATAATGATAGCAGCACTCACTAACTCATGAAATTTATTAAAATCAAACTTAGAAGCACGCATAGATATGGATCTAAATGACTGAGATAAAAGCAACTGACCTATGTCCCGTGTATCCCTCCTAACACACGAATCTATATGCCTCTTTAAATTACCAGTGCCATACCTGCCCTCCGCAATATACTCAGTCCCACAGTTCTTACATCTGCATCTTCTCTTGTCCTTGCCGGGTGGAAGTATATCATACTGCAACCAAACTTTTGATGTGAGTTTTCTTTTGCGCTTCGTGTCTTGTTTCTTTTTCGGTTGTACTTGCACATCTGCATTTTCATTCTGATCCACTTCAAGGTCAATCAAATCAAGATCATCTTTTGATCCACTTTCGTCAAGTCTCATGGTAGAATCCATCTAAATATTACCAAATAAATAAATAAATAAATAAATCGAACATATATAATAATTAATAAAGAGGACATATATAATAATTAATCAAACAAAAATTGAACAAGTTGACCTATTCACCCCCTCTAAATTATTAAAGTGTGAATCACAACTTAATCAACATAACAATTTACACACTGCACTACTCATGTAACTCACACTATTAAATTGATAAACAAAAAATAATAATAAATAAATCCTTACCACTTGTAAAATTATCAAAATTAGGAACTAGAAATAATCACAGGCATCGCCATAAGAATACATGTTTTCAATTTCATAATGGGTGTCTGTCTTTATTTAGTGTCTGGTATTGAAACTTAACATTCAAGCCGCCACCAGTTTTATCAAATCACTTCATAAATTTAACCTTGTTACCACATTGACAGCAATTTATATGGGTGAAACACCATTATCTCAATATCTCATAACAATATTTTCAAGTGAAAGAGAAACATATAGAGCCGAATCAAAAGGACAATGCAAATGCAATCACATTGCTATATTAACCGATGATCCAGTCACTACAATACACAGATCGATCATTAGAAATTTGCCCAACAAGTGATTGACATAAAATTGACAAGGAAATCAAAATGGAAATAAAGATGACAAATGGAGTGTTCGATTGAGCAAACAATGCAAAACACAAATTATTTCCAAAACAACCATATCGAATATGTAGCACACTATGTCAAGCAATTTAAATAGATCAAACCAA